TCATGGTTTCAGCTGGTTCACCCCCTGGTTCTGCAAAATGTCCTGGGCTTGTTCCTGAAAATCAGTCCCGGTGACCCTCTGCGTCGGGGATTGCAGTTGTTATGGAAGGAATTTTAGCTGATTACGTCTTGGTCTTCCTGTGAAACTTAGCAAATTATGAGATATGCATCACACAAACCATATAAACTCTAGGGTGATCTAAGTGAGGCTCCAGGTTAATCAGGGCAAAGTTAGAAACTCTATGCAAAAAGTTAGTTTATGCTAAGCTACCTGGTAGGCTACATATGTGGGTTAGGTGGCACCGGGACTTGAGCCCACACTGCTTGTGCAGACAGCTGTGAGCATGAGGTAGGATGGCCTTATGCTGGCCCATCCTGGTGGAATTCGGATAGGTGACACCAAGTTTTCAGGGATTGTCCCTCCTGGAGGTGTCTCCATGGAATGGGGATGCGAGGTTCTGGGGGACAAGCGAGTTGAGTTGGGCTGTGGCACAAGTCACGGTGGCTGTGCCCAGTCAGGGAGAGGCACACTGTGCTGAGAATGTTCTGAGCCTCGTAGTCATGTATGCATCTGCCAGTTAGCCGAGGAGCGGTGGCACTTACCTCAGCAGTCCTTGACTTTGTGACCTCGGGCAAAGTCACCTCATCCACCTGAGCTTCAGATCTCATCTGTAAACCAGGCAGCCATCCTTAACCTGCCTGCAGGAGGGGTGGGTGGACCACTGGCATTGGAGATCATTCTAATTTGAGAACTATGCTCTGTCTTGGCCAGGATATAGATTTATGTTGCAGATGGGCATTTGCATGCTCTTGCATTTGATTCTTAAGTTATCATGTCAATGTTTAAATGCATGTGTTGCCCATGTTCCCCCTTCTCTAACTCCCAGCATCCTCTCTATTTATCCCACGGACCCCTCAGCCAGTTGGACTAGTTGGTGTATGCACCCGCCTGGCCCAGACAAGCCTGGTGGGTTCCCTCAGTGTGGCCAGCAGTGTGGACAGCCCACGGTGTGACATGCCCCAAGGCTAAGGCACAAGGTTGACACAAGGATTCCCAGCAGAGAACGACAAGCCCACCTTCACTGGGAAGGCCAGGCCACTCCTTTAAAAAGTCTATTATCAGAAAAGCTTTACAGCGACTGAAAAGAAATTACAGTCATAATCCTACCACTCAACCATAGCTATTTATGTTTTTTTTGTGGTTCCTCTCTTTTTATCTATTTGTAAACAGTCACCGTCCTTATAGATTTTCCTGCTCTACTTTCCCCCCAGTTCACATAATTCCATAAATAGCTTTTTTCCTTTTAACTGACTATATTATGTTTCATTAAATTACATACCTGCCTTTCCCTCTTGTTGGTTATTTGGTTTTTATTTTCCAGCTTTTAATCATTACAAATTTCACTGCCATAAAAAAATCTTGTTCCCACAATTTTCCCCTTTGGTTTTGAATTCATTCTTTCAGATAAATCCCCAGGACTGGGATGACTAGGCCGACATTTTTAGGACTCCTGATAGCCTCACTTTCATACATTGGTGTGGTTAACCAGTACCACCTGCAACACAGCAGTGTTCCTATCTGCCTGCAGGCTTGCTAGCCCTGCATCACTTATTTTAAAACAGGGTTCATTAATTATTGACCCGTATAGTTAGAAAATGATACTTCGTTGTCATTTCTTTTGTTGTTGTTAATCCTCACCTGAGGATATTTTCCCACTGATCTTTAGTGAGAATGGAAAAGGGGAGGGGGGAGGAGAGAGAGAGAGGAAGAGAGAGAGAGAGAGAAACATCAATGTGAGAGAGACATATCAACTGGTTGCCTCCTGCTTGCACCCCAACTGGGGCCCAGGATTGAACCTGCAACCGAGGTACGTGCCCTTGACTAGGAATCAAACCCTCGACCCTTCGGTCTGTGGGCTGACTCTCTAACCACCGAGTCACACTTACCAGGGCACTTTGTTATCATTTTAAGTGGCATTTCTATAATTGCTGGGGAAATTGTCTGTTTCTCCCTGTTTATAAAACCCCAGGAGTTGGGGTCTGGGATGATCTTTGGATGCCCCTGTTTCTCCCAGTAGGACTCATGTTGAGAGCTGTCACCATTCATATCATCCGTTGTCACACTGCTGCTCCTGTGACTTGCTTGAGCTGCTATGTTTGTTGAGTTCTGTCTGTTCCTAGTTTCCCTGTCTCCTCCTCACTTTCTAGTTGTCTCACTGCTCTCAGGGAGCCTGTCTGTGCACGGGGGGCTAGGAGTTGCTAAGACTGTGCCTAAACCATGCCTGCCCAGGGAATGAGAGGGAGGACTTCCTAGGAGAGAAGGGCTTTCCATGGGCTTTTGTGTTTGGACTTGGTGACTCCTGTTGGGCTGATCAGGAGCCTTTGGCCGCCTGCTCCTCACTGTGCCTGGTCGTTAGTGGATTTGCCCAATAATGAAGCATGGGTATGAGTGCCCACCTGCTCAGTTGTAATTTGCAAGTTTTGTGGTTGGGTTTACACTGATACCACTGCCCTCTCAGCACCTGTCGTCTGGGGTGGGCTTCCTCCCTATTTCTGCTAAGGTGTCCAGCACTAGGTGGATGTACCCAGCCCTGATTTAGGTCCCTTTCAGCTGTTATTACCTCAAGCATGACCTCCTTAGCAGCAGCTACCTCTGGTCAGGGCTGTTGAAGGCCAGGCTGGGGAGGATTTAGTTGTCTGTATAATTGATTTCTGTGTGTTATATAGAATATATTCAAAATCTCAATAGATTAGCTCATGTCACATGTGAAGCTTGCTCTGGAAAACATACGTCTGCTCTGGGAGGGTGGGGCTGGTCTCCCATCCCAGGCCCCTGGCCTCTCTGGGGCCTACTTGACTCTACGCTAGTGGAAAGCGGGACCCTGGCAGTTGCATCCTGGAGAATGGCCTGGCAGAGGGCTCCACGGTGGAGGCAGTGCGTCCCAGTTCCCCAGATTGAGTCCAGCTTCCTCGGCCCCATGGATCGGTCAGCATTCTTCAAATCCCTGCCTGCAGGTCATCCGAACGAACGTTCCTGAGAGAGTTTCCAGCAGGGAGACCAACCTGCAGAGAGGAAGGAGGCCAAGGTCCGATTCGCAGGAAGGGGCCTGATGGTGGAGACCATGGAAGGGGAGCAGAGGAGGCCCAGCTATAGGTTTTGCTTTTCATCTTTAAGCTAAGCGGGTTTGGGATGTGAGCGGAGAGAAGCTTGGGAGGAGGTGGGCAATGGCTCCAGGGAAGAGGGCTTGGGGCTGAGAAACCCTTGGGAGAAACTATGTTGGGGGAAAATGAATAGAATCTTGAGACAAGTTGCCTGAGCATTGATGTGAGTGACCCCAGCATGGGTACCTAGGCCTGGTATGCTCATCAGTCTCCCCTTTTCCGAGTCTCTGGGGGAATTCTAAGGGACCACTGTGGTGTTCCCATCTTCATTCAAAGAAGACATGGTCTCACCTGGTCTCTTGGCCACATCACACCTTCAAACAGAATGGCGGGTGTCCCCCGAAGTCGTCACATAGCCTTTACATCAGGGACTTTGGGTGACCAGTCACCTCTACATCACCATGATATTCTTTTGTATTTATGCAGCATTCCCTCTAAGGTAGGAATGGCAAGATGTGCCCAAGGTCCAGCCTCACAGGACCCAGCAGGGTCTTGGATATTAGAAAGCAAGGGCTGCTGGGTCCTGTGTGTCTCAGAGGGGGCACTATGGTTTTGAAAATCTTCAAAGTGCTCTAGACAGGTCTCTTGCAAAGGCCAAGACTTCCCTTCTATACAATCTAGATTATTCTATGTCATGTTTATATTTAAAAATTTTTCCTTTGTTCTTTTATTCACTTACCTGCTATTGAATGTCTTTCTCGCACAGGGTGCTGCGGAAGCAAAAATAATCCAGCTGGAGAGATAGACAGACAGTGATACCCAGTGTGATGAGGGCGTGGGTGCTGCTGAGCAGGGATCTCAGAGCACATGCCCAGGGCCTGGGCTGGCTTCGAGCTGCCCCTTTCGCCTCAGCAATTCCGGCTTTGTAATGTGGTGGACTGATGCTGAGAAGATCTGTGTCTAAATGGTGGTTCTGCCACCTACTAGCTGTGTGACCTTGGGCCAGTCACCTGCTCTCTTGGGGACATCAGTTTTCTCATTTGAAAAATCAGAACAGAAGTTCCATCTACACCTCAGGGTGGATGTGGAAGAATGCTTGAGGAAGCACATGGCAGAGGTGGCAAACTCTAAATAAACTCTAAATGAAGCCCTCCACCACTGTCACCCTGACAATGATGTAGCATAGCATTTACTCAGAGATCATGGTATTTATTGAGGCTCTCATAGCACTTGTCCAATTTTACAAGATTCTTCCCACCTACCCCAGGTGGGGATGGGGCAGAGGATGACCTCACCTGTGAGACACATGGGGAAGTAGTGCACCAGCCGCGTCCCACACACTTCAGCAACTGCAAGTGTGCTCTAGTTCCAGCACCTGCCCCAGGTGGGGGTGGGGCAGGGATGACCTCACCCATGAGACACGTGGGGAAATAGTGCACCTGCTGTGTCCCACGCACACCCAGGCAGCCACTTCAGGCCTGCAGCTCTTGCATACAATATGCTTGCATGTGCCATCTTATCTCACCCTCTCTTCACTCTCTCACCTCCCGCTTCTCTTTTCTGCCCCCTCTCTCTTTCTCTAAATATTTACTCAGCATCTATTAGGGCAGACACTAGACATACAGATGAGACATACCTAACTCATGGCTCCTGCCCTTGAGAAGCTCTGGCAGACACTAGACATACAGATGAGTACCTAACTCATGGCTCCTGCCCTTGAGAAGCTCACAGCCCAGCAGGAACATGCGCTTCTGACATTGGTCCATCTACTTAAGGGAGATATTTTTGGCTCCATTTGGCAGATGGGAAAAGACTGAGGTGGAGAGAGACTTGCTAGGAAGTGGCAGAAGCAGCATTCCAGCAGGCCTGCCCCTCACCTCCAAAGCCGGCCAGGGCACAGGGAGTAAATGTCACATACATGTTCCATGCTCACCCTCACCTCTGGGTCTTTGCTTGTGCTGTTTCCTGTCACACCTGTCCTCAATCGCTGCTTCCTCCGTCCAGACCCTGCCTGAGTCTCACTGCGTTCCCAGCACCTTCTCCCACCACTTGAGCCTGTGCTAACCACATATAACACAAATAATGACATCATAACAGAAGTCCCCATGGATGGAGCACTGTCATGTGCCAGTCACGGTGCCAAGAACCTGGCTCGGTGCGCTGGCTGACTTGCTCATCAGAACAAGCCGAGCATGTAGACCTTCTCATTACCCTCCATGTCTGAGAGACATTGCTGAGAGAGTTAGGGCAACTAGTCCCAGCCACACGCTAGTGCGTGGAGACAACACCAGACCAAGGCCGGTGCTGGGAAGGATTTAGTTGTCCATATAAATTGATTTCTGTATGGTGCAAAGATTTCTGTATTTTCAAAATCTCAATTATTAACTCATGCCACATGTGAAGCTTGCTTGGAGCCTCTGTTTCTTCAACTATGAAATAGGAAAGAAATAGTGCTTTCCTCATAGGGTATTGTGATGATTAAATGAGATAATGTGTATACAGTATACATAATGCACAGGGTAAGTATTCAATAAATGTTAATTACTGTTATGTTGTTATTGTAAAGATACAGGTTCCAAGGCTCTGCTGCTTGAGGCTATAACTTGGTAGAGTCTGTAGTGGCACCTGGGAGTCTGCATTTTAAAATGCATTCTCTCGGTGATCAAGTTCTTGGACCACCTGTCCCAGGTCCCTCCCTGAGAACCTTTTCCTGGGGTGACCCTTGGTTCTCTCCCAGCCCCCGAGAGGCACATGCAGGCTGGATACCCCAGCCTCTGACAGAGGACCAACAAGCCCAGAAGGGGTGCCAGATATAGCACATAAAAACCTCCTGCTTTACCTGGCTATCCTAAACTCAGATAAAGCTGTAAACTAGTACTCACAGGGGAGATTCTTTTTGCTCTGTGGGTCTCCATTTCTGCCACATCAACTATAAGGTTCAAGAGTGTGGAGTGTGAGGACAAAAGTCTTTTATAATTTTTAGAGATTAATATAATTAATGGGTCATTACGTTTAAATTAGGGACCTTTGACGAGGTCATCTGTTATAAAATCAAAGAAAGGGGCTTTAGGAGCCATCTTGCTCCATCTGCTCATTTTGCAGGGGAGGAAACTGAGGCCTGCCTGGAGGGGGAGGTGAGTTGCCCAAGGTCAGTGCAGGGCTAGTGGGAACCTAGGTCTGCAGTTTCTGGCACAGCATATGTTACTTTCTCCACCTACAGCACTTGTTTCTGTCCTCTGCCGCCTCAGTCATATGTGGGGGAGAGGTGACGCCCAGAGTAACCAGGGCCGTGGGCCTAGCGCCTTCGCAAAGACCTTTCTGGTGACACCCTCAGGATGGGTCCTGCCCTTGTGAGCCAAAGGGAAGAACACAGCACAGAAGCCAAGTCAGCCCCTGGCTGGATGAAGCCCCAGAGATGGGCGAGGTGTTCTGCCACGCAGGGTGCTCAGGGGTCAGGTTCAGGACCTGGAGCCATCGGCCTGGCCTCCGGGCACAGGGCTGACTGGGCTTCCTGCCGGTGTCTTGCAGGGTGTCCGGAGGAGAGCTCTTTGACTTTCTGGCCCAGAAGGAGTCGCTGAGTGAGGAGGAGGCCACCAGCTTCATTAAGCAGATCCTGGACGGAGTGAACTACCTTCATGCCAAGAAAATTGCTCACTTTGATCTCAAGGTCAGTGAGGGGGGAGGGAGGTGAGGGAAAATAACCAATTTAGGAAGAATGGGCCCAGTCTCTCCCCATGTCATTGCCAAGAGGGGTCAGTGCCCACGTGGCTCTCCTCCCTCATCTACCGTTGAAAACTCTGAGTTCCTGGGAAAGAAAGCGTCCACCTCCCCAGGTTCATTGAACAGGTTAGGATTTCTTCACACAGGCCGACTGCAAGAAGCTTATTCAGACCACAGGCACCTTATCTCTTTCAGGAGCAGATGGTGTAAATTTTAAATAAGTAGACCAATGACAGGAAACTTGAAACCAAACACATTTAACAAGATTGAACTTTTCAGTAAGAAAGAGCTAACTCCTGAGGAGGCAGATCTAGAAGCGTTCAGAGGGGACGGCTGAGGTTGGTTGGTGCTCCAGACCCAGCACAGCACAGCCTCCAGCATCCCTTGACCAGAGGTTGTCTCTCTTGGAGCCCAAGACCACCGGCCTCCCACCCCCACCCTGCCCCGTACTGTGGCCATCAAATTGCTTCCCAGGGGCCACTGATCATTTGTGGTAACTGTTCTTCAAGGTCGAGAAAGTACACTTTGACCACATAGGACTTCAAAAAGCAAGAATGTGGTCAAAGTAGGATGATCAGTTCCTGTAGAAACTGAGCTCCTTTGCAACAACTGATGAGCCTGTAAGACACCCGAAGCGTGAAGACCTCTAACCCATGATCAGAGGGACCTGTTTACTGGGGAGGAGACGCACTCATTTTTCTATCCAGAAACCCCTGTTGTGTTTCACGCACTGTGCTGGGTGCCTGGATATTGCTACCGATCCAGAATCAACTGAGGCCCCGTCTAGGCTTAGTTCCTCTTTTTCAGGGAACTTAGTACAGGAAGCAGAAAAGAAAGATCAACAACTCTAAGTGCTACAAGAGAGGGAAGTACGTGGGGCTGGGAGCCTAAAGGAGAGGCATCTAAGTCAGAATGGGGAATTTGAGAGGGCTTCCTGGAGAAGGTGGTATTTGACTTGCGTTCTGAAGGACAGGTATTATCAGAGGGGAAGGGCCTCCTCAGGAAGAGAGGCCAGCAGGGTACATGGTCCCAGAATACTACAGAGTATTCAGGGAAGTAAGGCAAAGAGTGAATGTGCTGAATGGCTGGAGAAGAAGTCAGGAGGAGAGAAGGAGGCAGACATGAGGGCGTGGGAGCCTAGCCAAGGAGATAGAACTTTATCCTGTGGGGGCCAGGTGAGCAAGGAGGTGAGGTAAGCAGGTGTGTGTTTCAGAAGGATCCCTCTGACCAGGAGGATGGATAGAATGGTGGCAAAACACTGGAGGCTGGAGTCCCAGCCAGGAGGTTATACAGTTATCAGGTGAGATGTGACAAGTGTCACACTAATTTGAGAAGGGGACAGATGTAAGACCTATTTCAGAGGTTGATCTGAGGATTGATTGGGTGCCGGATTAGATGTGGGAGATGAGGAAGAGGGCAGAGTCCAGGATGACACCCAAGTTCTGACTTGGGGGACTGGTCCAGAGGATATGGCTTATCTATTGCCTCACGGCAACTGCAGAGGGTGGGCTCTGTTCGGGCACATGGATCTCACCCGCACTTACTCTGCACTGTGAGGTGACCTGTAGTGAGTCCCCTCCACATGGTTCCCCTCTCCTAATGCCAATTGTCATTATCTCGCGGTATATTGGATTCCTCCAATAGATGTCTTACAGAGCTTCACTTACATGTCAAGGAGTAAAAGTTGGGGTCACCAAGGAGGGTGTGGCCTGGGCAGACCTTTGGACCTCAGTATGGTAAGACATCAAGTAGGAAACGCTCTACCCAGATTACACCTGTGCCTCCTTCCTGGTAATACTATGGACAGTGAACTTGTTTTCATGTCTTTGCTGGATCCAGGAGACCAGTCTCAAAATGGGCTTCTTTGTCTGTTCTCTAATGGGTCCACACACTCTAAGGATACTAGGCGTGGTGGGTGTTAGCAGCATCCTCACCCTAACACCCACAGGAGGAGCTGTGGAGGAGGAGGAGGAGTTGTGAGGCCCGTAGGCCCCATGACTACAGCAGGTTCGTGCTGTATAGTTTGCTTCTATGGCAGCTCTCAGTGGTGGAGGTGCAGGATGCGGGGGTGGGTGGCGGGGAGGGGAGAATGCTGGCTGGGAGTTAGCCAGGTCAGGGTTTGTGTCTCTCTCTACCGTGTACCAGGGTACAACTGAACCTTGGTTTTTCAGCTTCAATGCAAGTAATAATAGCTGCCTGGCAGAGTTGTAAGGGTTAGAGAGAAGTGTCATGAGGTGCTCTGAAATAGTAGCTGGTGTTGTTGTTTCCCTCTCTAGAATAGAGGAAAAGAACACACAACTCTTGTCACAGTGTTTTGGGCCCCAATAGACTAGGAAGACAAAGCCTGTTGGTGCAATTTAAATTGCCCAGCGGAGAGCTGAGATTGGTTGCTAGGTGGGGCTGCTGTGGAGGATCTTGTCTGGCTCCTGGGCTCAGTCCGGACATTTTCCACAACCTGGAGACAGTCTGGGTTTCTCGTGGATGCGTGCAGGGCGAGGATGCTGCTAACATCCACCCCCGGCTCATGTCCTCAGAGCTGTGTGGACTCAGCCTTCTGACTTCCCCACCAGTGGGTCTCTTGGCCTGGGCCCAGCGAGGCACCTTCAGGAAGTGATAAGTGGCTGGAACTCAGCGAGCTGACCTCATGGTTGGATAGACACTTCCTGGAGCCAGAATGTGCGTGTGTGTGTGCCCCCTGGCTGAAGCTTGCCGCCCGCCCGAGGGGGATCATGCCGAAGATCCAGCTTAGAGGGGATCTTGATTCCATATTGTCTCCCACCATATAAAATTCATTTTATATGAATATATTTTTATTCCTGGTCTTCATTCTCAACAAGGGGATCTCAGTTTTCCTCTCCTGTTTTATCCTGCCTCACCCGGTGAGCCAGGCTAGCCAAACTGCCCCGTTAACATGTGTCCATGTTCCTACCCATGATCTGTTCTTCACTCGCACTTTCCAGCTTGATGGAGGAGGGTCAGCTGTCTGGCCTGCCTTTGGAATATGAATGGCCTCTACTCCTATGTCAGCCGTTGTGCTGGGCACGGTGAGGCTCTGCCCCTGCTTAGGACATGCTCCCTGCTTTGTGGCAGAAAGCAGACGAATGGACACAAAAATGTTGATAAGCAGTCTTGGTAAACAGATCGTGGCATGCTGTTGCCCAGAAATCTCTGATGGATCCTTTTCACCCATAGGATAGATAAATGGCCGCATTATCAGCAGGGCTTTCGGGCCTTTTTATGCTGCCTTAGCCTTTAGTCAGGCCTCATCCACCTTCCCCGACTCCAAAACATTAGCCCCACCGACAGATACCGTTCTGGCCTCTCTTGTCCTCTGTTCCTGCTGTTCCCCCATCCAGGAAACTGCTGCTCTTCCTTTCCTATGCCCGTGGACTTCCTGTTCATTCTTCAAGGCCCAGCAGAAACACCATTTTCTCTGGGAAGACTTTCCCACCCCTGTCACCTCTGAAATCATCACTGAGAACGGACCTGCCTGTCTGCCTCTGTTGTCCTTTGTACAGACTACTGCTGGGAGCATTATCGCTGTGAATCATTCCGCTGCTTGTGTCTAGCACAGGGACTGACCCATGACAAGTTAGTTACTCAGTGTTGTGCAAATAAGTAAATGAATGAATGAATGAATACCTTAGTAAGACCAAGTGCATGCATGGATGGCAAAGGCCCTTTTATGTTCCCTGGAAAAAGCAAAAGAGGTTTCAGGCAGATTTCAATTCAGTGATCTGAACATTTATTGAGGGACTATTTTATGCCAGAGAGTAGAGTGACAAACATCAATGTAATATAGTACCTGCTTTCCAAGGGCTCACCATCTACTAGGCGATGTCATAGTGGGGTTCAGTGGGGAGGCCACCTGAAATAGAAGCTAACCCAAGAAATGTTCACTTCCAAGAGGTAAATTCTGCCCCAGCAGAGTGAATACCATCCCCGTGAGTGCTGTAAATTCGCCACAGAAAGGCCTGCTGGTGTGGGTAGGTGGGTAGAGGTAGATGATGTTGCCCTGTATTTACACTGATGGGAGGGACACGGGCTGACTGCCCCTCAGCACCGGCAGCACCTGATGCGCCTTCAGACATGCCTTCCACGGATGGATTACCAGGAAATGGGGCTCAGTGCTACGCAGGAACCTCGCCCTGGTATGTGATCCCAAGACAAATATAAACCTTGTAAAGGGCATTTTTATGTGGTTTTGTGTTTATTTTGGAGTTGGGAGTTTTCTTTCTGAGTAAGGGTGTGACCCCACTCTCCCCGCCCGGCCTTAGCCTAGTTCAACTTGAAAATTCAGAAAGAGAAGATCGTTCTCCTCGGGTCTGACTGGAATAAGAATAAGACATGAGGGTTGAATGAAATTGTATGCAAGCCAGGAACCCAAAACTCTGAAGGGACTTTTTGATCTATATAAATAGTATTAAAAGGAGTGAATTCCTGAGCAAGATACCCCAAAACTCCAAATTCCTCTATGCCCTGATCATCCTTTGAGCTGTTAAGTTTATAACGGGATGGGGTCTGCTCATCACGCTCTCATAAGAATGACACTGATAATACTTTAAATATTTGAAGTACGTTCTAGAATATAGCGTGCTTATATCTGTTCACTCATTTGATTCTCATGGCCACCACTGAGATACAAGGTATGGCCACTTTTTTACACACAGTTAAGATTCAGAGAGGTTAAGTAACTTGTTCAAGATCACACAGGTATTAAATTTAGACTTTAACTCAGCAAGAAACATTTAACAAAGCTGAGTGTCACCAGCTTTTATTTTACCAGATTCTAACAGTATAGATTTCTTACTTGGGTCATGCATGCCTTTTACACACACTTGATCCAAAGGTCTGTACTATGCTATAAATGTATTCTTTATGGTTAATTTCTCAGTTACATTGTTTTTTTCTTATAAGCTATTCCTCATATTTAAATAAACTAATTTG